TTGGAATTGGAACGTAACCTTAGAGCCTCCTTTTTGTCGTGAATATGCTGTTTTCATTTTGCATTAAAATCTGATTTAAGGTGTTGACATAAGCGGAAGGTTACTGAGTTCCTGACATGCAAGGTGATGAGGACATTACCTGAAAACTGCAACACCTGCTTCAGTTACCGATTCATTAGTGCAAAACCTAATGGTTTCTTTCCTTAGTGATGCAAGCATTTTCAGGTTGAATTCTTTGTTCAATGCACGGTTAGTCAGACTGATAGATTGCCAGGTTGTCGTCGAAAGACGGAGGCTTTTGTTTCTTTTGAGCATAGGTCATTTCTTAATGACATACCGACACAAGTACCGGCCAGTGTAAAAAATGACGGAAGAATTAGGATTAGAGGCTTCCTTTGATATTAACTTTAACTGTTTGTGGACAGGAATGAGACCAAGACAACGGTTAATGGATGGAATTTGAAAGTAAAGAAGTAGCCTCCTTCACACCAGCTGATTGATCAAACTCTAACCTGAGTTGCCAAAACTTTTTCACGTATCTCGTCACCCCTCTGAATGAACGCTAACATTTGAGATTTTATTCATTCGTCCTTTGTTACGCTCACGTTTCCCGAGTTGAGGTGCCACATCTTTAGAAGATTTTACCAGTGGTCTCTAGTCTCTGCCAATTAAGTAATTGTATATATACTCTGGGAGAAATATATCAAATAGTGTTACAGTCTTTCTTCCTTCTGTGTGACTTTTTTCGTCAACGTCCGCGCCACGTATGCAAGTTGACTTTCTACTTCTCTTCTTTCTACTTGGTGTGGCGTTAGCTTTGATTCTATCATTTACCAAACGCCTTCGTCATTGGGTTTTCCCAGCGTGTTGGCGGTCGACCGAGTGGACGTCTGTTGGAGAGAGGGATCCGGTTTGAAACTTCGTCTACCTCCTCTCATCTTTCACACCAACCACATGGCCAGTTCATCATTTCTTTGAGTTGTACGTTGCAATGAGGAATAGGTCTAAACCTCGTGCCTAGCGCCGTACCGTCGCACTTGGAACATGGTCTGGATTTGAGTCCTTGCATATTCTTTTTTGTATCGCCCGCGTTGCTTCTTGGTGGTTGAGCAACAGGATGCGGTCGAACAGGTCTTTCTTTGTGGACGTGGGCATTTCGTTATCCAACACGGACGTTTTAATTTTATGCAGACTT